CGAACTCTTTTTATGATATACGAAAAACAATCCCGAATTTTAATTTTTTTAAATAAATTTTATAACCGAATTAGATTATGATAAACCGATTTAACTCGGGTTTAGATTATGACAAAACCGATTTAACTCGAGGTCAAATTATTATAATTTGCCGATCACTAATATAAATTCTGTCAGACAATTAGAGGATAGACGTAATGTACCGAAAAAAGCATTTCATAGACATATCTTATGCTGTATTTATCAAATTAAGTTAAAATACTGTCACGAAATGAGTGAAATAATGATGACGAAAATTTTGTGATCTCTAAGCAAACCCCCAAAATCAGGATGACAAGTATCCGGAAAACTCTGTATTTGGTTAAATTTTTATATGACCCGGCTTGATCGATCAGCTCAGAGGTCACAGTACTGCCAAATTATTGTGCTATCACTATTCAAACCACAAGATTCAAGTATTTAGCCCAAATTTAAAGTTAGTTGTAAAATTATATATTGATCAATCAAAGATAAACTCCGAGAAAACTTTTCCTTACCTCTGATCTATCTTTACCTAGCCCATTTTGAAACGCTTAAATGGACATAGAAATTTATATATAATGATACACACTTACCTGAGAATATTGGTTAGCACAACTGAAGATCAAATATTACATATCTTTCAAAATTTAGGGGCATTTTATAAATGCGTTATAATGAAATAATCTTGATGCATTGTTAATTGAAAGACGGGCTGAATTGGCCTTTAGAACATAATGGCATGTCAAATATACATTTGAGATTCGATCATCAATTACGGTTTTAGGATTGATTCTCACACCTAGGTTAAAAAAATAAGTATATTATGTCAAAAAAAAAAAAAAAGTACTGCCAAGAATTTGGCTTTCAATTATATAACTTACTGAAAAATCCTTATCAATGATATAAGATATAATATACAATTGAACATCAATTGCGTATTATTGTTATTTATTGCTAACCAAAATTTTTCAGGAGCTTTATCCGGTGCGTTATATAAGTGAAAACCCGAAGACAAAGCCACATTTTTCCCTTGGCAGTACACAATTAGAATCATTATTCTTAAGAATTTGTAACCGATTTCAATTCTAACTCATTTTATAGCACTTTGCAAAAAACGTGACTACAATTTTTGTGACGATGGTAGAAATTTTTTTGTAATGATCTTAAGAAAATTCCTTTGCGAGCTAAGAAATTCTAGATTGTTTGTTTATCGTTTGAAATAGGCAAAAGTCTTACAATCTATAGAATCTCCAATTCTCACATGATAGTGATTTGCGGAGATCATATCTTTTTTGCAAGGAATAAT